AAAGAATCTTCATCACTTGGCCGTCCACACAGTCACTACTTTTGTCACTCCTCTTCTCTTGTTGTCCGATGCTCTCTTTGTGTTGTATGTTCTTTTCTCACATCAAGGAGCATCTGCATTGGCACTATAGAAGACAGGAGAGAATCAGCCATGTCTCAATGTGTGCTCTGTGTCGTGTGTATGGACTGTTGATAGCCGAGAGAGAGAGAAGGTTGATGTTGGATGGAGAGGAACAATTGGAAGTGTGTGTTGAGTCCCGATCAGTGTGTATTCTCTTTTCATTATTCAGACACTCAAAAAACAGCCGAGAGAGAGAGGAGGGTGAAGTCCCTCCTGTGTGTTTTTGCTCAGTCCGCATCAATCCGCCTGTTGCTGCCCAAAAATCTGGTGTGTCTGTGTGGAGAGAGTTCCAAGTCGGGGCGGGTTGCTGCGAACCGAGAGAGAGATAGCCTAAAAAATGGTTGAGGGACCGGCATGTGCTATGGATCTTCCCTCTCAAACCGTGTGTCTGTGTGTCTATCCTGTGTGCCGTGTGATCTCTACGGGTGTTTGTGTAGTGTTGGATAGCAGCCCCCACAAGAGAGAGGTGAGCTTGTTGTGTGTTGTGCTGTATGTCAGTCGTGCTTGTTGTACTGCGCTGTGCCGTGTGTTGCATCCCTTTTTCATTGGTGTTCCCCGTGATGTTTCCGATGGGCTGTGTATGGGATCTTGAGAGAGAAGAGTGTGAATGGGTTGGTTCTATTGTGCGCTGGTCTGTGTGGGTGTGCTGGGTGTGTCTGCATGTGGTTGGGTGGTCTACGGGTGTGTCTCTGAGAGACCCAAGCTGAGGAAAAAAGTGAGGTGAGAGAGAAAGCCGTGTGGGCATGTTGCTGTGTTGTGAAATGGTGTGTGTGTGCATGGGTTAGGGTGTGTGGGTGATTGAGTGTGTGTGGTTGTGTGCCCATTGTTCCACCGAGAGGAGAGAGAAAAGAGGCCATGCAGCCTCTCACGAGAGAGAGGTGCCGAGAGGGAGAAGAGGACTCACCTGTTTGCTGATG